GTCTCGTCCTAATGACACTGAACTTCAGTGGAATAGGATCTCGGTGGCCATGCACGACGCAGGCACATCTGCTTGTGGCACTATCAGTCGTCACCGCACCAGTCACTGGATATCCGAGAGGTCCGTGAACCTGTTGGAATCTCGAAGACACCTCCCGGCTGGTTCTGAACACAATGTGACCAGACGGGCTATTAGGCGTGAACTAAAGCAGGGCGTACGTGCTGACAAGGAAGCCTGGTGAACCAATAGGGCACAAGAAATGGAGGAGGCAGGAGCAGCAGGCAATTACCGGAAGCTCTTCCAGCTAATCCGCACCACTGGTCCCAGAAAACCAGGCGTCAGTGAGACAATCAGAGGCAGCGCAGGTGCGCTGATACACAATAAGGAGCGCCGTATGGCTCGTTGGGCGGAACACTTTGAAGATCAGTTGAGCTGGCCCCCTGCTCCCGGACCTCTTCCTACTCATGTTATGCAGGACGTTCCATGGACGGTTAGTTTAGAGCCTCCGTCGGAGGCCGAGGTCCGAAACGCGATCACAGCCCTTAATCGTTTTCGTGCCGCTGGCCCGGATTCCCTCCCACCTGCACTATTGAAGGATGGAGGTGAGGTCCTCTGCAGGGCACTGACCTCCCTATTCGAACGTATCTGGAACGAAGAGTGTGCCGGCTAATTGGAGCGAATCAATTATAGTGACAATATACAAGAAGGGCAGTCGTACAAACTGTTTTGACTACAGGGGTATTAGCCCAACGCCAGTTGTGACAAAATTACTGTCCTCGATTATCGTTCGTCGCCTCACTGCGGAACGGGAATCTCGGATTAGGGAAGAGCAGGCCGGTTTTCGCCCGGGACGTGGCTGTATATATGGTCTATACGGCCACGTCCTGGACGGAAACCTGCCTGCTCTTCCCTAATCCGTGATTCCCGTTCCGCAGTGAGGTGACGAACGATAATCGCGGCCAATAATTTTGTGACAACTGGCGTTAGGCTAACAGTCTGTGTGACAGCCCTTCTTACATGTTGCCACTATAATCGATTCGCTCCACTTAGCCGGGACACTTACTTCTAAATATATTAGAATGAGGTGGTCAGTGCTTTGCGGAGGATCTCACCAGTCTTCAGCACCCAGGGCAGAGACCAAGGTACGGTATACACCTTCTAATTTGACGTCGCTGTTTACAGAAACCCTTGGACAAATAAAGATGCATCTGGAAGACCAAAAGGTTCGAGTGCAAATGCTTTCGTGTATGAGACAGTGTAACAAATACAAACTTTCTGGAGACCTACCTCCGGAGGTTAGCGCAATGGCGCGATATATATATGCTTTGAGAACAACTGTTCAAAAGCTAACTGAAGCTGTGCAACAACCAACAGCTCAGTCGACGCTGGTGTTACATCTGCCTGTATCAACGGTGGAGCAACTCCGCATTTTATTTGTATAAATCACATTTAGGGTCAAATGTCCCCTAAACGCGTTGTCTGCTTGGTGAGAAGGAACTACAGCATGTTTCCCAACTGTTAAACCTAGGGGTCACGTTGTCTTCAGAATCTTAGTCCAGTGAGAATTGTATGAAAGCTATGTGCAAGGTTTCGGAATGTTGTGGATAATCCGCAGTGCATTCGGAACCATCACGGGAAATACGTTTCTTAGGTTATTCTTAGCCTTTGTTAGGCCACACTTGTAATACTGCATATAAGCCTGTCTACCTTGCTTAGTCAGGGACAGGATATCAGTGGCAAGAGACTTGAGAGTTGGGACCAAAGTGGTTCCTCGGCTACGGAACGTTTGCTACGCAGCAAAACTTCTCAGGCTAAGAATGTTTTCAATGCATCACCGTCACCATCGAGGCGACTTGATCCTGACCTATCGGGAAAACCGGTCTTGATTTATCTTGGCTTTTCCAGCCGGCTCGACTGCCATCTCTCCGGGGTCACTCGATGAAGCTACACAAGCGTCGATCTGATGGAGTCTGGGCAGACTTTCGTTTATCACGCTAAGTGGTAGTTTCCTGGAATGCGCTGCCCGGGAATGTGGTGGTGTCACCAACGGAGAAAGATTTTGTACACTGTCTTGACGCCTTTGGCCTTCAGTTCCAAACTTTCCCCTTCACTTCCTAGCTTACTTGCCTTATTGCATTATTAAATCCATTTCTTTTTGTTTCTAAGGCTTTTATTACCTTCATGCTTCTGTTTCTTATTTCTTGTGACTGGTGCGGCGGGGCTGCCAATGTAGGTCACGTGGGTACTTATTGGTTGACCGTGGTGTGATTCGCTCTTTCTGATCTGACTTATCGCCTGCAGTTATCACGGACGAATAATTACCTGCGATCAGCGACGAGCCACGGAAGAAACACCCACGGGAATTTATCCTATTGTTCCAGCCCCACTTGAACTTAAGCGTGGCGTTGGTTGCGATTGTTGTTTGCTCTTCATTTTGCCTTCCTATTCCGTCTTCGGTGTTGATAGAACAGCCGTCGCCCGTGTATTTTCACGTTATTCATCCAGTCAATTCACGTTCAGTCCTCCATCAATAGCTGTGACAGTGGTCCAGCTCGCCACCAGGTGTAAGACAGGCACACCCTCCATCCAGCTCGGACTCTTACTAGATGGTTGTGATGCAACTGACCAGCCGCCTACAAAGTGACCCGTTTGCCTTTCAGCCCTTTCAGTCTAATACGACGCACGTACGCCGTAGACACGGAAGCCCTCGGAACCCTCAACCGGACGCATACTACAGCACCACCGTGCTGCAATCTCTCGAAATAGTTACGAATACGGAGTGACGCTTTTCCTGATGACTGTCGGCTTTGACGACTCGGTGTGTACTGACGATAGTAGGTTGTTCTGTTATCAGTTATTCCCAGAAATATTGAGTATTGCGAATTATGCGCTCAAACTCATCGGTAAACCGCCAGAATTGACAGACGTATACGATATTTCTGTCTCCTTCATTCTGCATTTATCTGTGGAACTTTTTGGACTGGATTTGTGTAAGTTAAATGAGTCATTTATTTTGCAGTGCCCTATCCTGATGGAATTTCTTACAGCGACAACTGCAAGAATGTTGCGGCTGTGGTCAACAGACTGGCTAGCGAAATTGGCGTTGATCTTGATCATATCCTTCCTCAACATGTTGCTCGTGGCCAACGGAGAGCTACATCAGATTTGTTGGAACTCCTAACAGCTTACATCGCTTATTGCGTGGATGATAGTTTTTTGGTTCCTGATAGTGGAACGCCGGAAATTCGATTACCGCTACGCGATGATGAGGCAATCTGCACGGAACAACTAACAGGTTGGTTACGCATTACCTTGTATTGTGGTTTTCCATTCTGAGCGTTGAAACTGTGGTGACATCCACTTCTGCACAACCAGACCATCGACACAATACCTCTAACTTACGGTCAGACCCTTGAGCCATGGGCTCTGATTGATGAACCTAATCGTTTTGCCTAGGTTTACATGTATAGGCATACCCCAGCCCACATGCAACCCATCATCATTATACACGTTAGCTAGAGGAGGGAAACACAGCTACTGTATCGCAATACATAAAAGAAAGAAGGGGAAATGCAACAGGTGCAAGCCAGCTGAGCTACCGGTAACGGATGGGCATCGTTCGGGTTAGCTACCACCCGGCTACTATGCAGCAAAAAATTAGTATACAAAATTATACAAGGCTAAGTAGTGAGGTCGTGGTTGGAGGAGGAGACTAAGAGAGATGGGGTGGGACAAAGAAACTCACAGCACGAACGACATTGTGGTCGGCTCCTAGCATTCTCAGCAAGTGTACCCAACCAAACGTGTTCATCGTCTTTCGGACCCCAACCAGGGAGCCGAGGCGCTCCATCCGAGGCCAGCTTCGAAGTGAGGTCCTTCATTCCTCTGGACCAAGTCATCTCTTGGCCACCCCTCTTCTTCTTCCATCCACACCCCCGGCGCGCAAACGCACTTCGCGACAGTCGATGGGTTGGCATGCGTAACACGTGGTCGATCCATCGGAGCCTGGTGCGGGAAATAACGGTGCTGAGCAATTCATTACCTTTTCCTGTGCCATAAACAAGGCGTCTGACACGCTCGTTGCTCAAGCGGTCTTCCCACCAGATGTGAGCTAAATTGCGAAGGCGCTGGTGGTCGAACGTAACTAGCCTCTTTATGTCCGCTGATCTAAGGAGCCAGGTTTCACAACCGTACAATAGGGTCGAACATACCGCTGCATTGTACACTCTGCCCGTCAGGGCGAGTGTGATGTGGCGTCGGCGCCATAAGTAGCGAAGGTTAGCAAAAGTGCCTCGAGCTTTTGCTATACGGTTCGTGATCTTCAAGCCCCCGGTCGCTGATACAACTTCCACTTCTAGCTGATCCCCACCAAGGGTCAGTGCATGAGGCAGTCCAGGCGCATCTCGGAGGAACGCTTTGCACTTCGAGGGTGCGAAGCTAACCTCGAAGTGACGGACAGCCAGTGCTTAGCTGTCCAGTGCCACTTGGCACATTTGTGGGCTGTCACAGATTAGGGCAATATCATCAGCACAATCCAAATCAATAAGTCGTTCTCCTGGGAGCAGATCCACACCTTTTAAGTCGTATCCTGTGAACGCGATTTCCATGACTTCGTCAATAACGAAGCTGAAGAGAAACGGTGACAGCGGGCATCCTTGTCTCACACCGCTGGAGATATTAAAGGGCGACGACAGATAGCCGTAAGGTCTCACTCTGCTTGAGCTACGCGTGTATAGTGCGCGGTTAATATTTACATATTTCTCGGGTACACCTTTCCTGACTAGACAGTCCCAAAGTGCACGTCTATCCACCGAATCGAATGCACCTTTGATGTAGAGGGACACGACAGCGTTGGGTCGCAAATATGTGTGACGGTGCTCCAACAACTGACGCAAAGTGAAGATTGTGATGGTGGCTCAAACAGGGACGCGGGCAATCGCCTGCCGCAGTGTGATCGATCAGGCGATCGATCGAGTGGGCAGGTGAGTTTTTAAACACCCAGTTAGTTGTAGTTTGCCTCAGAGTTGCGAATAGAGGTTTGTATGCAGAGTCGGGGTGAGTTCCTTATTGAGACGCGGCTGAGGAACCCAGGCACAAAACATGGTGACAGAGGTGACTCCACTGCCGACGGCTCTAGAGATGATGGAAAACAAGCTACCGGACAACTGAAAAGCGTGGAAAGCGAATTGGATGGAATTCGCAGCGTTGATCCAGTTAGATGAATATCCGAAGTCATACCAGATGGCCATGTTCCGATACGCTGCCAACTGCGAAGCGTGCCGTGTAATGGAGGCGTGGAATTGCTGGGACCATGATAAAGTGATGGATCTTTCCCAAATAATCGAGAGATTTGAGAACTATCGTGATGGTCGATTAACTCTTCTCTGTAGTTGCGGCCGGTTGGTCAATGCCTGTTCAGTGGGCTGTGAATGTCAGCCAGCGACGAAGGATTCAACAATAAAGTACTCAGAGGGCCTTAGCGAACAAGAGTGCGTCTCTCCAACGCCGTTGACACAACAACGATCAGCATCATTATAACCTGATCTATGAACCACTGACAGCATGCTACCCTCGGAAAGCTGCATCGGAATAGCGTGCAGTACAACACTGTCGCTTCAAAGCGTCGAACGTACCGAGGCTGCAGCCACAAGGAAGCAATGTCATAAAAACTGAAAATAAAATAAAGAAACGATTTATCAGTGTCAAAGAGACGAATGAGGATCCTCGCCTGATGATACTGGAAAGAAGAAAAGCGCTATCTACCGAGATTGGGACAAGTTCCATTCAGCGTTTCTTCAGTCGGAGACGAAGGAAGTTGATGACAGCGGCTAACGTTCTAGTGCAGCCTAACCTTACTACGACTGTTATTCTTTTAGACCGGAAGCTCGCCCGCAACGGATGAGGACATGACAAATGCAACACAAAATCTGCGAAAGGAAAGCAAAAGTAGAGGATGTGATGGTGGCTCAAGCAGGGACGAGGGCAATCGCCTGCCGCAGTGTGGTCGATCAGGCAATCGATCGAGTAAGCAGGTGAGTTTATCAACACCCGGTTAGTTGTAGTTTACCTCATAGTTGCTAATACAGCGCTTGTGTGCGTAACCAATGTGCTTTCTTTCTCTTGACGCGGCTGGCAGAACCAGGCACACAACAAACATGTGGTCAATGCAGCCACGACCTCGACGAAACCCGACTTGCTCTTCACGAATATGGCTTTCACGAGTGCCAGTCAGTCTGTGAAGGATGACAGAGGCAAGCAATTTGGAGGCGATGGAGATCAGATGATTCCTCTATGGTTGCCGCATTCCGATCGTGAGCCTACCTTGGAGATGGGGAGTATGACGGAGCGGCTCCAGTCGGTTGGGACAATTTCCTGCTCCCACAGTTCCACTAGTAACTTATAAATCATCCACAAAAGCAGATCCCCCGAATTTTTAGAGGGCTGGAGGAAGATCATCTGGTCATGCTGTCTTATTTAACTTCGACTTTTGAGCGAGAGAGCTAGATGCTCTTTGTTTATGGTTTACACTTGTGCCCCCCACCAATTACAGTTTTGATACTGCCAAGGACACATTATATCACGAACTGAACACGCTGTTTCTCTATGTTACTAGTTCAGATATCGTTATTGTTGCAGGAGATATGTATACGTATGTAGGTTGTCTGGGCTTTTCAGCAGCTCGGCTAGGTGGTAGATGTGGACTTAACTCCGACTGTGCGGCGAGCGTCTCTAGTAACTGTGCGCGGGATACCGGCTGTTTCTTACTAGCACTGCTTTCAGGCAGTGGATGCCGAAGTGCCACTTAGCGCCTACCTATAGCTGACCAGCGATGGACCCAAATATATCACTTTGCCGTAATTTACAGGTGGCGTAGTTCCATCCTGGATTGTTGCTCTTTCTGGATTACTTGCATCGACTCTGATCATGCCTTGGTATGTTGTCGTTTTTCATGATCTTTACCGGGTGGCGCACCAAGCGCCTCGATTGGCAGCTGAGAAGTTATCCCAGCCCTCAGTCAAACGAGCCTACCAGGATACCTTGCGAACCGAACTTTCGCTCCCTCGTCTTAATGACACTGGGAATAGGATCCCGGCTGCCATGCACAACGCGGGAGCCTTTGCTTGCTGCACTATCACTCGAGAGATCACTGAACCTGTTGGAATCCAGAAAACTCCCTACTGGCTTTAGCACAATGTGGCTGGCTGGACTATTAGGCTTAAACTAAAGCGGAGTCTTTGTGCTTACCAGGAATCATCACCATCAACAGTAGTACATCAGCCATTTCAACTGATGCTTCGCTGCCATACAACCATGTGGACCTATTAAATAAAAAATAAGAAGGGGGAGAGAAGGAGGACTTACCTGAAAACCTTAATGCCCTAAGCAAACATTCAGGGTCAAGGCGTCTACACCTTGTGTAGACAACATACCGTCACAAACAGCTGGCTATCGTGCAAAGATAAGGCAGCATCGGCGAGACAGCTTCCTTGCGGTTTTCAATGCCACTCGTCATAATCAGCCATTACCCCGCAGATAACTCAGCACCAAACACACTTTAAACAAGCAATCCGATTAGGAGATGGCAGTAGACGCGCCACCGGTGTCTACTGCGAGCCATGTCCTGTAAAGTCTCGAGCCACGCACAAGGCGTGTCACGTGGACTCCAGCCCGGAAGGCAAGGCGGACCAACGGCACCCAGTTTGGTCGTCATTGACTTCATTTCCCGCTGACAAGTCAACTTCTGTCCACCTCGAGCCTTGCGCCATTCTACACCTGGCAGACTAAACAAGGCCCTCCTAGGTAAGCGGTGACCAGGCATGCGTAGCACGTGCCCGAGCCAACGCAACTTATTCAGTGCTATCTGTTGTTCTAGGGTGTTAGCATGATTATCACTACCTAGTACTCGCCTACACACATCATCGTTGCGGACACGCTGGTGCCATCGGACTCCAGCAATGCTTCGCAGACAATGATGATCAAAGACTTGAAGGCGCTTCAGATCTTCCGACCGAAGGGACCAAGTTTCCCTGCCATAGAGCAGTACGGCCCTCACTGTTGCCTTGTATACCAGGCCTTTCAGACGGAAGACTAGTGGATCAGTAGGGCCCAAGGAATGGAGGAGGCGGGAGCAGTAGGCAATTATTGCAACTGATCCGTACTACTGGTCCTAGGAAAGCAGGTGTCACGGCGACAATCAGGAAGTTCGCGGGTGCACTAATTCACAATAAGGTGCATCGTAATGCTCGTTTGGCTGACAACTTCGAGAGCAGTTCAGGCAGCTCCCTGTTCCCGGACCCCCCTCCCACTCAGGTGATGCCGGCTGAGCCACGGTCGGTTAGTTTCGGGGCTCCATCGGAGACTGAGGTCCGAAACACGATCATGACTCTTAATTCTTATCGAACTGCTGGCCCGGATGTGCTTGAATCCGCACTACTTAAGGATGGTGGTGAGGATTTCTGCAAAGCACTGACCTTCGAAAGAGATCATCCCAGCTCACTGGAGTGAATCGATTATAGTGGCAGTATACTAGAATGGCAGGCGCACTGACTGCGCCAACCACTGGGATATAACCCTAACACCAGTTCTCCTTCGTCGCTTCACTGCGGAACGAGAATCCCGGATTAGAAAAGAGCAAGCAGGTTTCTGTCTAGGGCGGGCCTGTACAGACCATATATTCACTTTGCGACATGTGCTGGAGCAGCGCCACACGTACCGCCTACTGATAATGACTGTGTTCCTCGACTACAAGAGTCCGCTCGACTCAGTCGATCGATCCATTATGTTCGAAATACTTGCGCGAAACAGTGTCCCAGTGTAATCTGTAACTATTTTACGTGGCCTGCACTCCAACACCACAAGCCACCTCAGAATTTACAGCGGCTTGTTGGATGTCTTCCGGATCACAAGTGGCGCTCGTCAGGATTGCCCAGTTTCCCAATTTTTGTTCACTTTCGTCGTGGATTCCATCATGTAGTGTTCCCTTGTCGAATTTTAAGATGCAGGCGTTTAGGTGCTGCCTGGTGAGAAGCTAGTTGATATTAATTATGCGGATAATACTCTCTTTGACGATATTGGAAGGAGCAAATAAATATTGAATAAGCTCTTAATGATCCCATCGTTTGGGATGCGCATCGCACCTTCGAAGGGCAGTGTTGTTGCAAGACCATCATCCGCTAGTATACTCCTTTACTTTTGATAATGAGGCACTCGAAGTAGTTGATCGTTTCAGTTACTTTGGTAGCTTTATCAGTAACGACGAGCGCATAACCACCGAAGTCAGCTCACGTATTGCAAAAGCGAGAACTGTCTTTTTCAAACTGGGACCTTTGTAGCGTCAGAAAGGTTTTTCTCAGTCTGCAAGGCTGCGTTTACAAGACCACAGTGAGGGCACTCCTACTCCATATGAGTGATACTTGGACCCTTCGGTTTGAGGATCTGAGGCGCCTTTAAGTCGATGATACTCGCTGCCTGCGAAGCATTGCTGATGCCAAATGGCACCAGCTTCTCCGCAACGATGGTGTGCGTAAACGAGTGTTAAGCAGTGACAAGCTAGTTCCTTAGAATGAAAGCACTGGTTAAGTTACGTTGACTTGGGCACGACTACGTATGCCCGGTCATCGCCGTCGCAACGAGACTGGACCTTAACGTGATGCGACGGTTTGCGTACCTCCCTGACCCATTGAGCTATACTCGGCGGTGCCTCCGGGCTCCTTCTGAGCTACTCCTACCAGATGGGTCAATGGTGAGAGGCCAGACAAACTCAGTCTTCTGGTCCTCCAGGTTGGAAGTCTAAAAATTGGATGATGTCCATTTCTGTAACACTAAATCATTGCCATCCCCGCTGCCTTGCGGACAGGCTTTTGAGCCAAAGACTTTAGTTGAGGACCCTAATCGTCCTTTTAAGCTTTGGGCGCCCTGGCAGTATCTCAGCCTACATACAACCATGACTTTTTCTCCAAACATAAACTTCATCCTTCATCGGCCGTCGCGCAAATTATCAAGGGTCGCCTTATCTGCTACATACAGCAGGGCGGATAAGTGCAAACATGCTACTGCTGGCGCCTCCCTTCTTTCTTTTCCACCTGTTTCTCTTATCCCCATCCCGACCCCCATTACTAACCTATAATTCCCAGCTTAATTGACAGCAACCGACGTGTCACTGGAGTATAGCCATCCGCAGCCACCTTCCCACAACTCCCATCGGACGCTTATCGGCAACAGTCCCTTATAAGGCCACGCTGTCTCGTTTTCATGGTGGCGTTCAACTTTCGCACTCTAAGACAAATAGGTCAACAGGCTGCACTCGCACGCACCTTGGACACACTGGGTGTTGATGTGTGTTGTGTGTCCGCAACTAGGATCAATGACGCTAATGGGGTTATTGAAGTAACTGCACCCGTCTTACCTTCTCGTTATTGGTTGCACGCATCCGGAGACCCCGAGGCAGCACTCACGGGTCAAGCTGGTGTAGGTATAATTCTAAACTCCAAGGCTGAGTCATCGTTGGTTGATTGAATTCCGATAAATAGCTGTTTGTGTGTAGCTCCTTCGACGACATCGACCGAGGTTGATTCACGAAGTAGTACAGAACGCTGTTTGTTGGTGATTTCCGCTTATGCTCCCACCGATTGCAGTTCAAATGCTATCAAGGACACATTCTTTCACGAACTGAACGCGCTACTACGCAGTGCTACTAGTTCAGATATTATAGTACTTGCAGGCGATATGAACGCATAAGTAGGGCGTCTGAGCTCTTCAGAAGCTCAGCTGGGTGGTAATTGTGGGCTTAATTACGAACGGACTGTCAACGGTGAGCGTCTGCTGCAACTGTGTGTGGAGCACCAGTTGTTTCTTAGTAGCACTGCTTTTAGACACAGTGGGCGCCGAAGTGCCACTTGGCGTCCTCCTGTAGCTGTCCAGCGATGGACCCAAATCGGCCACATTGACCTAAGTTACAGGTGGCGCGGTTCCATCATGGAATATCTGCATCGGCTCTGATCATGCCTTAGTACGCTGTCATTTCTCCATGAAC